GGTTTTTTTTTTTTTCAAAAGGGGAATTTAATTTTTAACCGGCTTTGGATTTTAAAAAAAATTTTTAAAGGGGACTTAAATTATTTTTTAAAGGGAAAAAAAGGGGGGGGGGGGGGGCAAGGGGTTCCCGGTTTGGGGATTGGGACCCCATACTTGGGGGGGTTCCCCCCTTTAAAAAAGAGGCATATCCAAGGGGGGGGGGGGTTTTTTTAAACCCAGAAAAGATTTTTGGGTTTCCCACCCTAATGGTGGTGGTGGTAATAATAAACTCCCCCCCCCCCCCAACCTTTACCCCCCCTTTTCATTTGCCCTTCGGCATTGAATCTCGCCCCCCCCCCCCCCGGTTCTCCTCATTCTCCCACTCATTTCCGGGCCATCGCTGCCTTCATTGCACGCCTTCTCCTTCGTCTCCTTCGTCATTGAGCGCACTAGTTTGGTCCTGACTCTCGCAGCCGATTTGTGTACGTGTGCGCGACAACTGACGAAGTTGCTTGAAAAATCACGTGCGAGTGTTCGCGTGGTGAGGAATTGACTGTAGGACCGGAAGCGCAGCGGGGAAGCAACTGGGCTCGAATGGCTCACGGGAAGACTTCGAGGAATTTGTGGATGTTTTAAAATGTGGATTCATGCCCGGGATTGAGTGAGCGGTGATTTGTAGTGCTTTCACGTGGCAAGCCTGCATGGGAGGCCCTGATTACCCTTGTGTCGGGTGAGAGGGTGCGGATTACTGGAGTGGAGGATGCGTTGTCGTGGTAGGGGACTCTTTAACTACAGAGAGCAGATTAGGGGAGAGTCAGGAATAATCTATGGACAGGGCGTGAGGTTGAGTCTGTGTGATCACTTGTTGCATGATCGGTATTACGTACAGGAGTAGGTGGCGACTTTTGGAACAAAATGTATTAGTCGGAAAGATGGATGTACGATGATGAAATGCGCGTGGAGCGCTAATCTGTTTAGACCGATAGTGACGATTCGGGGTTTTATCTACGCTCTATTGAATGTAACTCGGTCTCCATTGAGCAAAAGGCATTTTGATGATAGCTTTGTGCCGTAGCTGGCTGCTTTTTCCTTCCTTGGTCTGTCTGGTGAGTAATCCACTTATAAAGCCAACGCGAATGAACTGCCTATCGGCGCTCAGTCTCCAAAGTACTCTTAATTCGAAGGTTCTTTTTGAGAGCACCATTTTGGACCTCACTGTAACGTGCTAGAGTTTCTGGAGACAGTACTGATTAGGTGAGAAGCCGTATCTAACAAGCTATCCAACCTGAAGATCATTGACTAAGAGATGGCCGAAGGTCATTTAACGGTAAGAGCAGAGCTACTCGCTTGAATCGATCGGAGAGAGATTACTAGTTCCGTTAGAAACGTGTATCGACTGATTTTCATTTTGCTGGATCAATATTCTATTTGGAGCAGGGTGACTAGTTGAGTTTCCTCCTCCGAGAACTTGTTATAGTGGTGTGTTCGTTTGGAAGATAGGGCATGGCTTTGAGCTGATCTTCACTAGAATTGACGCTGATATGAGTCGCAATTGGAAGCAAACTCCTGATTGCAATAATGGAGTATAGGAGTTGAACTTTGAATTTTTTATCCGGTTTCACGTTTACATTGCTAGTCTGATCGACTAGCACTTCGTGTGAGACCTTGCTTAATGACACATCACACTGTAACGATCAGTAGATTGGTCTCTGATCAATTTGTTTAGGTTTTCCAAGTATACCGGAGCACTCTAGACGTTGATTACAAGCTGTCGTATTCTATTCGTCTACGTTAGTGCGGACGTTTGACACTTTTTTTGAGGACACTCCGTGAAGCCGTCCTGACGAAGTCTGCTGTACGAGTACTCTTGAATGAACGACAGTCATTACGTAACGCTTCATGGTGCGTAGCACGAAGAGCTAGGTCTACAATCTGCTCTGGGGTTCCTATGCCTCGTTGAGGTCGAGCTCAGTTGTACTAGCAGGATCTTAGGTTCTCATGTCTGGTTTCCTTTTCTCGTCTACATATAGTTTGCATCTGATACCTCGTAGCCAAGCGAAGATGCAATTCTTGCCAAGTTTGTTAATAAAACGAAGGCATGGGCGCACATAGTTCGTCCTGTAGAATAACGTTGCTCCAGAAACAGGCGATTATTTTCATTTTCTTTTAAGTTCCAAAGAAACAGCACCAACTTCTGCGGTTGGTCCACAATCTCGCAAGGAGAGTCAGAAGCACCAAATAGTGTTATCGAATATCAAAGCAGAGTAGTCCCTGGCTGATTAGAATGCTTCAATAATCTCGGCATTTACATCATGTAACTCTAAATAATATTACTGATGCAGGTGCAAAAGTACCTGGTTGGCGCCATGACCCGTGCTGGCTTGTCCGGGCGTATCCACATCGTAGACGCCTTCATCAAGCGTTCTAGACCTCCTGCAATCGATGCAATTTTCGTGGGAGCATTAGCAGGGCTTCAGAAGGACATCATTGATTATGTGATCGGTGTTGCGGACAGGGATGGACTTGACAAGTGCCTTCTTATGAGCGCAGCCCGAATTTGGAGTTGCAGGACACTTGAGGAAGTTAGGTTCTTGGCTGACGCCATACAGAGCTTGGCAGACGCCGGAGCTGAAAGCTTCCAGCAAGCTTTGCAAGTGAGTTGTGGAGATGCTGTCATTGAACATTGGAATGGCGACATCTTCGTGGAAAAATCCAAGATACTCCAAAGATTACTGGTTTTGGGAACTAACTACATGACCCCAGATTTCTTCGGGCGGATCCTATTAATGATTTGTGTGACCTTTCTGTATAAGTTATTCAAATACAAGGAGAAGGTCAGGCAAGGTTCACTGGGATTGACGAAACTGCACTGCAAATCTGGAAAGAATCTATGCTGCGCAACAATTGTACAGGACATGTTCAAAGTTTTATCAGTTGTATGTAAACATGGTGCAGCTGACGTTATCAGTAGCCGTCTTCTCGACATTGCTGATAGAAGCCTTGAAGATATTGGGCGTTTGCTGCATATTTCGAATGTTTCTATAGAAGCAAGTAGCGCGGAGTGGCCACTGAAGGCTATTAAGTTTCTACTTATCGACTGTGGGATCAAAGATTTGAGTGTCACAGTTACTGCGCTTGCTGCATTTCAAGCAGCTCGGCTGAATGTTCTGCTCTCAGTGGTGCAATGTTTTCTGAAACTGCAGTGCTTCGAGGCTGTATACGTGTATCTGAATTTGTCCATAACCTTCTGTCGAATGGACGCCATTCAATACCTTCTCAGCGTCATCCACCAGTCATCTGACACAAGAAGTTTGATTCACGTTGTCCGGCAGGCAGCTTCCGACACGGGGGGTCCCCCACTTGGGCCACAAGGAGTTCTTTGTGCCCTTCATTCAAACTTTTTAATGAATAAGGATTTTACCATGAATGAAGCTGTCACACTTGCTAAATTGCCCGAAACAGATCCATCTGTGAAAACAGCTCTGAGAACGGAGTGGTCACAGGAAGCTTTCGAAGCAGGTAAACAAGCTGGAGAAAGGCACTTTTTCAGCGTTATGCTTGTAAGGAAGCATGCAAAATCACCTTTGCGTGTGGGCGAGCTGCCATTAGATTTGCAAGTTGCAATCGGATATCTTCCACTATACAAAGACTGTTCGAATACTCCTGGCAGTCTTTTATCGCTAAGGCAACGGGGAGAGCTACTTGCAGCATTGCGACAACTATACCAAGGGAGCAGAAACCCAACGTATTCTGAATCAGCGTTTCTGAATGCCGACAAGCAGACGTTGTTAAGTCGTCTAGCAGCCCGTCTTCCTGCTTGGGTCTCAGGGGGAGACCTCCGACGGTGCAATTCCTATTGAGGTCGAGTTCGGCTAATATCACAGGTACTGGTAATCGCTATATTGAGTACTATGATTTCAAATTAGCGCCGAGGTTGTAAAGACTCTCTCTTGTCGAACAAGTCAGCCGATATTCAGCAACTATAGGAGCGTATCTTCGAACTGTTTCTGAGCCCAGTCTACACTAGGTACGCTTGGAGTTATCGTTAAAGGTGTTTTCTCATATGAAGTTCGTTGGATTGTATTGCAAGTTCCTTTCATCCCATGCTTAACAGATTAAGTTTTTTCTGAGTGAAGCTTTTATGGAAAGCATTGATTCAGTGAGAGGTGTGACTGCTGCCTGCAGGAGTTTGAAGAATTTGTACTTAAAAGACCTGGTCATTCATATTATCGCGATCTTTGATGATGGTGGTTTTTTGCTCCTGTTAAATCGAAGGGTGTTGAAATTTCATCAATATTGAAATGACTTGATAACTCTGCCGCCGCCTTTCACTATAGACTTCTGGAATCGAACGGCCACTCATTGAATGAGATTACTGGTTCCTCTTACAAAAGTTGTAATGTATCATGAGACTGATGTAATCCCCGTTTTAGTGTAGGGTAACGAATTTGCTTCTTTGTTAAATGATAATCCCTGAAGCTAGAAACTCGTCGCATGCCTTTGACGATATCTTTTATCCACCATCTTCGACTTGTGGATCCTCAAGTTTTCTGAATGGGACTGGTACGACGAAATAATTGAGTCCAACTACATTTTTCCCGACATTTGCGTTATCGTGACGTTGAACATGTTAATCAATTAATTAATTTGTGCGTGTAGACATTGGTGTCATTGATTCACTTAGTATGCTACTCCATCGAACGTGAGTACCCTGGTTCAACATACTATGGAAACTCTTCCGTTCCAATCCGGGATGAAAGAAAGAAGTCTAGTATTATCTTACATGAACATCGTATTACGTAACCTGGTTGAGAGTTGACGGTTGTAAACCTTAATGTCGGGGTGTCTTCCGCATGTTTAATATTGTGCGACAGCACCTACTACCTATTTTTACAGGAAAAATGGCACATATACTGGCATTCTCTAGCCTTTCAATTTGTAACGTGGCGATGAGGGATGGTACTCTGATGAATCACCGTAAGAGCACAACTCATTTCGTCACATCTCTGTCGGTCCTAACTGTGTGAACATCTGTAGGGTTCGCTACTGGGGTGCAATTCTTATCAAACTGTACTTTTAGAGTTACCTTACCGCATTGATAGTATGCACAAGAGTTGGTGTTCTCAGTCCTTACCCATGTGAAGCCAGAGTTCCACTCTGACTCTGGGTCCACGCTTCGTTAAGTACAACGTTACTAACTAGGATGACATTCAATTGCGATGTGGTCTTTTCTCCCGTCAATGATAACTTGCTGACAGTTGATGTCCTTGTCTATCCAGATCTGGGAGAGGTTCAAGTCTTTGCGTTCTAGAAGTCACCTCACTGAGCATAAACTTTGTGGAAATTTTATGTGCAGATTTTTGTTTCCGAGTGCGGAATCTACAATCTAGAATCCAGATAAGGCCACTCCTTTTTGCGGTTTCGGTGCAGATTTTAGTATAGCTACGTGTCATTCACTTGGAAGTTGAGATTGCATCACCCTTTCTTGTCATTTGGCAGCCCTAATTCCCTGTCTCAGTGCGTGGTGTTTAACTGGCAATTTGGAGCAGCGTCCGCTGCGCAGCTGATCCTTGTTGAATCATGATACTGGCTTATGTCATACGGATCATGTACTCCGTGACTCAGAAATGTCAATGTCCTTGACTGTTGCATAATGACAATGGCGGCTTTTCTGCCTCCGACAAATATACTCCAGATGATTCAAGCGGCCTTTCTGCACTGCAGTGTGGTATCATGATTTGTTAATTATTACACCTCTTTTGAATATTGTCTTTTCCTTGGAAAGGATGGATTATGCAACAATGTAACAGCAGAACAACCGAACAGTTTGGTTTATGTGAACTTTCCAGTGCTATGAAGTGGGTTTGGAGGAGCACAGTGTTTGCCACTGTCTCTACAGCTAGTAAAACAATGATTAAAGTTGGTGCATAATTAGCAGAGCCTTTGCTAACTTCAACTGCATTGGCAGTTAGCGATGCTTAATGTTTACAGGGTAAGCATTGTTTACCCTTCGAGACCGACATTGGTGTGGAGATTGACAGCTTGTGCGAGATGCTTGCTTTACACTTAAGTTGCAACACATTTGAGTAGGCTGATCCACAAATTCAGATATAGTATGCAGTTGCAACAAACTGAGAGTTTTTACACTTTGACAGAAATGATCATAACAAATCAGTTGAGATTGCGAGTTGAAAACTGAAATATAAATTGTTGCATGCATAATTTACAAGCATACAACAAGTGAGCTAGAGTTTTTGTTTAGTAATGTGGCAAAGAATAATGTGCAGAGTTTCAGTGATTATCGGAAGGTTACAGAATGTGTGTAAAGCATGGAGTATCATTAGTGATAAACAGTGTATATAAGCTTAAGTTTTTGTTCTTATTTTTACCTTTTAGAGAATGGGACAAATACATGATATGATATGAATGTTATTACGAAATAATCATCTGCAAATCTGAATTTAATAAATTTCATTGAATTAAAGTGTGCCGGAATTGTTAAGTTAAATTCAATTTTTTAAAAGTTATTTTGATCTTTCAAATGAATGTATTTAGTAGATTTTACCCCCCTAGCTGCATACAAAAGATTGAAGCGAATGAATCTGGAAAATTCACCTTAAAAGCTAATTGAAAATATTAGTGGAGATATGCACACGAAGCTTATTTTACCTTAAACTTAATTTGCTACACTTCGTAAGCACACAATTTAAATTCTAACATTTACATTGCTAAAAAAAATCTCTTAAACAAGTCTAAAAAGTAATCATTTGTAGTACACATGGGTTTTTATGGCACAAAACAATTTTTTAAACTCTAGAATGAGAATATTAAAAAAGAAAGGATTAAAAATTATTCATGAACTAACCATACGATTACTTCAAGACTACGAACTCAAACAACAGTACATCACATAGTTACTTTAAAAAAAGTTCGACTTTTCTCTTAAATTTTGATTTAACACGTGTTTCAAATGGAATTGCCCAACGGTTCCAAATTATAAAGTTTGACCAAGGGCCAAGAATTGGAAATTGAAGATGCAATTGTATGAGGAGTTTACTTCCACTTTCTGAAGTGAATCGCAGACAGTCACTCATAAATTTCCAAGTGAATTTTCCAAGATTCTATTAGCGAATCTTCTGCATCTTCTGACAGTTTGTCTGGTGGGTGTACGTGACAAGAACATTCTACAACACGATGGAGTTGTATGGAAATGGTAGAGAGGAAGGGGGGTGGTGTCGGGAACAGAACCCCTCCTCCTTCGCATCCAGAAACACAGATTCCATGGTCCCGGGGTCCCACTACCCACAAAGAAGCGAGGTGGGGGCCAGCAAAAGACAAAGGGCCGCATCGTCGCTGCACCAGAGGAAAGATTCTGAGTTGCGGGACTGACTGTGGTCCATGCGGCACCCATGTCACATCCACAAAGCTCCACCAGGCTGCGGTGGTGGCCATGCCCACTTCCCTTGGTTTCTCCCTCGCAGTCATGTGAGCCACGCTTCAGCACACCGATGTCTCTCACCGACACACCCCACCGCACAGTCCGACCTCACCACCACATGTTCCGTTTCTCGAAATGACCACCAGGTGACATGTTTTTTTATTTTTAAAATTTTTTACACTAGTGCAGTCATCACGCAATGCTGATGACATACGATTGTAGTTTTTTTGTTTCGACATGGAGTAGGAGTTAGAGGAGGTGGGGAGCTGCCGAACCCTATTCTTGGAGGTTTGATGTGACATTGATTCGGATGTGCATTTTTCAGCTGCTGTTTGAGTTTGGGCTCTGATGGCGGTGGTAGGGAATTGAGTAAAGGCGAAGAGAGGGAGCTATTTATTTATGTTTTGGTTGTGTGGAGATTGGTGAGCAGCAGCGTAGGTAGTTGATTTGAGTTTTGATTCAGTGTAATGTAAACGAAATGTGGGGTTCGTGATTGGAGAGGTAATCAAGGTGGATTTTTTTTTTCCCCCTAAATCTGGTGCAATTGAAGCTTGCGGTTTTTGGAGAGTGGTCTCAAATGGCGAGGTCGGTGATCGATGTGAGAGGTTGGGAAATTAGGACGCTGCCAGGATTTAGCATTCTAGACGACTGCTCGTTGCAGAACGGGAAAAGTGATGTGTATCGCATGTTCCATGGGTTCAATGTTTCGCGCCGTGATCATGGGGATCGTTATGTTGGGCTGTGGCGGCGGAATAGCTCGCAGTATGCGCCACTTGGTACAGGATTTGCAGGTTTGGACAAGAATTGCGCAGGAGGTTGTATTCGAATTGAATTCATTAAATCACTGCAGCCGCATGCAGCTTTGCAGAATGCACTTACTGCGGAAAGACAATCTTTTAATGTTTGGAGCAATAGGGGGTGTTTTGACGGATCTCATTTCTCGTATGAGGCTAGGGGGTCGACTAAGTGTTATTGCTGGTCAAGTCAGAAAGGACAGGGGTATGGGCAGGAAAAGAATACCGGAAATCTGGCGGCGGGTAATGTGCCCTTTGTGAATTGGTTTCGGGCAGCCGCACCATACATTCAAGGGCATCGGGGGAGCACTTTTGTGATCGTCATACCTGGCGAAGTTGTTGAGAATAAGTCTGCACTTGAGAGCATTCTTCAGGTGCGTCATGGGCAGCATCTTGGACACATTTGTCACAGGAATTTTAATCGCAGCTACGTATTGCATTGGTGAATTTAGATAGTGCGTCTCTACCCTGGGAATCACATGCGTATGCGTCTTGTTGCAGGACATAGCTCTTTTAAATGGTCTTGGAATTAAGCTGGTCATTGTGCCCGGCACACACATTCAAATTGATCAGCTCTTGCATGAGAGAGGTAAAAAAGAAAGAAGACAAAAACCCTCTTTGCTGCGTTCACCGTTCGATCTTGGAATCAATGTGTCTGAGTCATTCTCTTATTAATTAAATAGTCACATGAATTTTCACTTCATGCTTGTTACGCACCATGTTCGTAACAAGCATCCTTTTCGAGCCGGTAAGAATAGCTGAATGATGTTGGCATTGAAAATGGATTATCTTCACTTCTAGTACCTATGTAGTGATCAGGACAGTCTAGTTTGGTAGACCCTTATCTTTTTAAACAAATCATAACCATAGTGGGCAGGGATTGAGCCGCAGTACGTGGGGGCATATCGAATAACGAACGATCAAGCTCTGCAGGCTTCAATGGAAGCTGCTGGCAAGATCCGCGTAGACATCGAAGCTAAACTCTCGAGGGGACCTTCTATTCCTATACTCCGGCGTCATGGTTCCAGTGACCGACGGCATGAAGTGGGCGTAAGCATCTGTAGCGGAAACTTTGTAACAGCCAAGGTATGTAAGATCAAGTCCTGTTGGAACCCTGGGAGCGAATATTTGTAATGTAACAAGGATGCTGATTGGCCTCGTTGAGTTTAATTTGGCATTCACTATTATCTACTGAAGTGTGTTAAATTGCCGAGTGATATGTACAAACCTGACAAAGAGAGTTCTGTATGATTACCGAGATATTCCCTATGATCGAATTTTGGTGCTTCGAAAACTTTGTTGTGCAGCTAGATTTCATCAAGCTAGGTTGGAGTGAATATTTTCGATTAGTTAAGCTTTAGTCCTTGTAATTGAAGCAACAACGGACATATCAGCTGGAGGGAACTGGATGTTTTGATAAAATAACTGTTCTACAGACATTGAGAATTAGATTATTATGGAAGGTTGTTTGTAGAAAGCCTCTTGAAGGCCTTCAATTTTTGTTGGATACTAGTGATGTGATCATGTTGGTGCAGCCAAGAGGTGTGGTAAACGGCATCGATTTCTTGTCCACGGGAGAAGTGAAGAAGATCAATGTTGCTCGTATCCAAGAGCGATTAGATAGCAACTGCATTGTTATTCTCAGCAACTTGGGATACTCCGCCTCTGGCGAGGTTCTCAACTGTAAGTAAGTGATACACCTACATCCTTTCTATTTCTCTGCAATAAGGTGTCATGAAACTGCCAGCGTTAGATAACTGATTTTGTTCTCAGCCATCGTGTTGTAACACTTCAAACACACCTGAACCAAATTTTAATGCATCATCATAAAACATGTATCTTCACTGATTCCCGTGTCTACGTTCCCTCTTGCAGCACTTACGAGGTGGCAACAGCTTGTGCAACAGCTCTTCAAGCCGACAAGCTTCTTTGTTTATTAGATGGTCAAGTATGTGATGAAAATGGGCGTTTAATAAGATTTATGACTTTACGAGAGGCTGACCAACTCATCCGAAAGCGTGCAGGACAAAGTTACACTGCCGCTGACTATGTGAAAGCTGTCGCTGGACCAGGGTATGTTAAAAGCCTAGGTCTTGAGACAAAGGTCGGTTGTGCTTCACGTGACGATTCTATTTCCAACAACTTTGAGGCGACCAGGGAGGTGAATGGTATTATGACGGGGCATGAACACCTTGACTCTTACATCAGTGAAGCTTTACCTTCGGGCGATACGGACGGTAATGATGCAATCCGAAAAGGTTTTGCCATTGGTGGGCAGGAGCGGTTGATTCGAACGTACGCATATCTGTCCGAGCTCACGGCGGCTGTCTACGTTTGTCGAGTAAGCTCTAATTTGCTTGACTCATGTTCATCAAGGGTTTCCAATTTGTTAATAACAACTTGATTTGTGTGCTGCTTGCAGATGAGGATTTTAGTGTTTTTGGTTCTTATAGTTTCTGTTTGATTCCTCCGAGAATGAATAGACGGTACGAACTGGCTGCCTCCTAATGGTGTGTAACCTGATATGTTTTCGAAGGGTGGTGTGGGTCGTGTACACTTATTAAATGGTAACATTCAAGGAGCTTTGCTGCTGGAGCTCTACACCCGTGATGGGGTTGGCAACAATGGTCTCAAGGTACATTGCTAGGTTTTTAGCCGTGGTCGTGTGATGTTTCTAATGCAGCATCTTTGGTAAGTTGCAGCTGCTACAGA